ATGCACACTACTGAGGAGTCTCACGATAGGACGAAACAGCCGTCCAGTGCTTTCATGTTTTCCCATAGTGGTCTAGTTTCAATTGACTCGTGATCTCAACCATTGAAACTATTATAATATCGACAAAAACCCTTCTGGTAAGATATTATCATTGATATTTCACAGAATTTAAAAATAATGTCTACCATTTTTATTAACTTATCTATACATATATACTTTCCTTATTTGTTTGTTTGTCTGCCTTTATTTTTCTACATTTTATCCTACTTAGATCTTTAGTAAATAGTTGTTAACAGTTAAATTAACTCAGTACTATTATTTACAACAACAACAACAACAAATTGTCTTGGTGTAATGTAGTCCTGAGGCAAAGAGTTGTGTTTTAATGCCTGAAAACTACTTTTTAACCATTTTCATTAAAAATTAAATAACTTTATTATTGTGCATAAAATACAACCATTATATAAATAAACATGTCTTATACACATATATACAGTCAGTCAGTCAGTCAGTTACAACGTAGGACCAGGCACATATATGCATCGGCCCAGGTTGCCATATCGCATTAGCGCAACAAGATGAACACCGGATTCATCAAAGTAGTTATTCAGAGGTGGTAATATATAAAGAAAGATTGCAATAAGGATATAGTACAGGAAGGAAGAATTAGTTCATAGAAGGAAAGATATGAAGCGATTTTGATCTCTTAGTTTAAGGGAAGACAGAGAGTGGATACACCGACGCCACATATATACATATCACATTTACTGATCAGTTTCTAATAGATTGTACCAGAAGGGGTTTTTATGGATATTATAGTAATTCCAGTAGTTGAGATCATGAATAAATTGAAGCTAGATCAGGTTATTCATGGTGGTCTAACTTCAATCAACTCATGATCTCAACTATTAAAATAGATTATATTAATAAGCAAATGTTAAAAGGCAATTTTACACTAAACAACCTTTAAAGCAAGATTAAAATAGTTGTTTTGAAAAATGGGTGAGATTATAATTTATGGACGACCTTTGAGCAACACTAAAGTGATCTTGAGAATATTCACCTACTACTGACTAGGATTAAATGAGAGTTATAAACCAGTGTGAGGAATTAGAGATATTAATTATAGTTGATAGTTAAGGTTGAGAATTAGATTTATTGTTTTCATTACAAACTGACATTATCTAAAATGCCGAAACGTTATTTAGTCAAATGGATGAATGATTTGGCGCCAAAATCCGAAACTTGTTATCTTATACATGATTGGGTTCGTTCATAAATTATGGTCTCTCCAAAACAGTGATTATTTCTCATTATAAGGTTTAAACCTTCATTAAATTAAAACTAAGTAGATTATTTTGTTACAGAATTTTTAAATAAATTGACAACAGTAAATAATTTCTTCATCAAGGTGAAACTTGAAAAGTGAGATTGATATGTGTGCACTTCATAGAAGCACTTAGTTACAATAAAATATATGTGTTATTCTAATAAAAGTATTGTTATGGTTTTGCTTCGTTAAAACAATCACCCTTTTAACTGTTATAATATAAATTTCAACGGTGTTTGAAATGAGTAGGTAATGAGAAGCGGCAACTACAGTTTATTAGCGGATAGCACAGCTCATAAAGCTAAAACGCACATCGAGAGAATTTGAAGCAAAGAGACGAATGTGTGTGTATGCGAGCAAATACATAGACAAATTTATGAGAGAGCAGTGAAGCAAAGCAAACGGTAATAATAGGATATGAGTAGTTATATACATGAGGAGGAAAATGAATCATCGGGTGATATTTAAGCGATCAATACTTTAGTTACAGTCTATCATTTTTGTCTTGATAAGAATAATCAGTGGTAATTTTTGGGATCCATTTGTGGACCAATACTATGCGTATATTATTATCGTATTATTGTTAATTAACTAAACTATTCATATCATGTCCCTCTTATTATGAGCATTATTTTGACCTATGAACTATTATTATACGATCTAGCATTTTCGAATTATGCCCTATCTATTAATTAGTACCTCCCTCATTCACAGCCACTTTTGGCCAAATATTATACAAATGTTATTTTCTATTTTATGGTACGACGTGGTCTGTCTGGTTGGTATATAAACCCAGTATGTATGGAATACATGATTCATATTGCAGGGGCTGAGATTGGTGTTCTGGACTTAACTGGCTGGACCAGGCGAGAAGCAGGGCCAATAAGGACTCTAGACTGTTCGTACTTGTTTTACGCGTCCTTGGTCCGATCGATAATCCACTGCTCTCTAATTGGCGGTATCATTACTTTATACATTAGCAGGGCACTCAGGCCACAAGTTATAACAGTCATGCGATGTAGTGACCATAACAGTATAAAGAAATAGATGAATTGTTACTGTTCTAATAAAATTGTCTGTTAAGTAAGTTAATAAAAGGGATTAATCAGAATTGACCATAATCGAAATTAGTTTTTGGGATAGTTGGTATAGTATAAAGTAAATAAGTTTTTATAGCTAATTGAAAGTTTGAATAATTTATGTCCTCTAAGTACTATGTGTATTTCCTGGAGCTCTAGTGAGAATCAGTGACCAGTGAAGTTCAATCGATTCTGTTGTCAGATAGTAACTCACTGATGATAATGGTGGATATGTCACTCAATTTCGTGGGTTAGTTGAAGTTAACCATTAACATCATCGAATACCGACCAACTCAATAGTCTAAAAGTTAAGCGTTCGTGTGCGAGTCCGACAAGTCCTGAGTTCGAACTCCGCCTGTGGGACAGTGAATGTACACCGCTGAGAAATACCACAATAGGACGAACATAGTCATCCAGTGCTTTCAAGTTTTCCATGGTGGTCTAGCTTCAATTGACTTATGAATTCAACTATAAAGGTATTATGCACACTGATTATATCAGTTAATTATAATCATATGAATGAATGAACTTTCCAAGAATATTTATTTTAATTTCTTTTAGATTTTATTGATAATAATTATTATTATTATGATGATCTTGTTTTATTACTTTTCTTTTAAAGAATCAAGGTGAAAACAATCATCTCTATTTAAATTTTCGCGCTTTATTTCTTCCTATTCTCGTAGAATTCCGTAATTCATTAGTGTAAGATTGTAATAAAATATTCAATATTTCCTTTTTAGCGAATTGGAAATCAAAATAGATATTATAGAAATATTAAATAATGTAATAAGAAGACGAAGATTATCAGAACTATGTGAATTAGTCATCAATAAAATGTACTGCGCAGTAAAGGTGATTATCAAAGAAAGAACAAAGTGCATGCTTCATCCAATACCTAAAAGACATGAAAGCGATTATGTCACATCCCACTGTGTTTACCAATTTAAATGTGTATGTGTGTGGTCACACATACATAGGGAGGAGTAATCCTGATCTCGAAATTAGGGGGGGGGGTGAATATGTACTAAAATGGTTACAGAAACAAATACAATTAAGTGACCCATTATGAGTAGAGAATAAACATTTATCATCCTCTATTGCTAAACATATAATCGAAACAGGCCATAATATTCACTTGGTGGCTATCAGGACTCAGTAGCTGAGTGGATAACGCGATGGCGTTTGAAGCGAGTGGTACTGGGTTCGAGTTCCAGAGTGAACATCAACTCTGAGATGGAGGTACATCCAGCTGACAAGTCCCAAATAGGACGAAACGCGCGTCCTGGATTCCACTGCTAGCCATTATCCATCATTGCTTACAAAAGGCCATAAGATTGATCTTAACTCAGCTTCTGTGGTGTTCTATAAAAGTACAAAATGGCCTATACTAGGGTCTATTGAAGCCTTAGCCATACGAAAATTCATACAACCCTTGTGTATTCAAAAACAGTTTGTTCTTACCTTAAACCTACCCTGATAATATTGGCTTATAATCCAGAGTGATTAGGTTTCGAATTATGTTCACATTTAAAACATTATTATTATTACTCTTATTATTATTATCCTTGTCTCCTCTTACCTCATTTTCAGTCTGGTTAACCTTTTATTTTTTTTAATATATAAATGTTCTTAACAAGTATATTATGTGTGATCAGATTGTTCGAAATGTATTGGGCTAATATATGATCACACAGTTCTAATCATCTTTGTCTTCTGATTGAATTATCGAAATATATTTTTTATGTAAATAAATAATAAAGTTAAAAAAGAAATTAGGACCTGTTGAGATTATTGAATTTAAAGTTTTACATCTAAACAGATATTGAAAGAAGGGGTTTGTGGAGATTTTAGAAATTTTCACAGATTGAAATCATGAGTCAGTTGAAGCTAGACCACCATGGAAAACCTAAAAGCACTGGACGGCCGTTTCATCCTATTGTGGACCTATTGTGCGAGATCGTGGATGCGCACTGTTGAGGAGTCCCATACTAGGACGAAACGATCGTCCAGTGCTTTTAGGTTTTCCATGGTGGTCTAGCTTCAACTGACTCATGATTTCAATCTGTGAAGATATTGAAAGCCAAAAAGGACTTGAATATTTTTTAGCAGTATGCAATTTGTCGGTAGTGGAAACCTACTCCTATTAAAGACTGAACTTACAACTCTTAGGGGTCAGAGAAACCCAAGCTTAGGAGGTCTAGAAATCTTAGATCTTACTAATGGTAAGTTCGTGACATGCTATGACGAAACAGCTGGATTGCAGTGGTTGTTTGATTAAACTCCGTGATGTCAAACCTCAATTTTAGAGATCGTAAAACTTATATTTAGGGAAACATCTAACTCAATGTAATTTTTATCTTCTTAAGGTGAAAGACTGTTGTACGATAATAAATTTTCATGATATTTTAATGACTCCTACAAAAGATTTCCGAGTATGGAGAAATATAAATCCACATTGGACTAACGTTTATACAAAAAAAATACAATGAATACTCTCTCACTACTTAAATAACAATATTGACTACAAAATAACATGATTTAACGACTTAAAAGTATATAAATTGTAAAATGTATTCTAACCAACTAACTTTTCTTCCTCATTTGTAACAGAGATATCATTGAATAAAAGAAATACAAATGCTACCTGATATTTCAATTAAAATGTTTCGATCTTCCTTTATTGAAATGAAATGATGTTTTTGTTCTAATTAGATGGAAATGGTTTAGTATACACAATTTGTGATTGGTGTTTGTTTTTCTGTCTCAATAATAAAAATATATGGAATGATTCAATAGTCGAGATCATGAGTTAATTGAAACTAGACCAATATGGAAAGTCTGGAAGCACTGGATGGGTGTGTTCGTCTTATTGTGGTACTGCTCAGCAATGCACATCCATGATCTCGCCTCGCGAGATTCAAACCCAGGCTATATCGATGTCGCGCGTGAACGCTTAATCTTTAGACCACTGAACTGGCCTTTATTCAACAGTGTTAATGTCTACCTTTAACTAATCCACGAAATCGCACGAAATTGATAGGTTCTGGGTTGGAATCTCATGAGTCGAGATCATAGATGCTAGCTGATGAGAAGTTCCACAATAGGATGAAACAGTCGTCCAGTACTTCCAGGTTTTCCATAGTGACCTAGCTTTAATTGATCTCAACTATTAAAAGTAATATTTTAGTATTAAGATATTATAATGAATTTGTACAGAGATTACAATTAATTCAAACAACAACAAAAAAATACCATGTTTATTTTGAATATCTGCATAATCACACATACAATGAATGGGTGTTACCTTTAGAAATGTCATAATAAATTTTCAATATTGATTCATTTGTCTAAATAACTCGTGTTTATTCATGTAATCCACTTCAAAGAATATGTCCTTAGAAATAGGTTATATATGACAAAATCTCAATCAAATACATAAAGGGAAAAAAAAAATTTTCGGTGATTAAACCCTTTATAGAAATAAATATTATTCTAAAGGGTAGAAACATTATGAATAATGTAATTAAACCTCATTATTTCACGAATGTTTATATTAGTATATTGAGTATTAATTATCAAATACAGCTAAGGTTATTTGACACGTTTTAAATGTTTGACTAATGTATGTTATATAACAGAAAATGTTAGGTGTAGTACGCTAATTGAACACAGAGGAAGTAATGAATAACTTCAGTTACGAAAACTATTGACCAGTCTCATTATTGAAATCATGAGTCAATTGAAGATAGACCACCATGGAAAACCTTGAGGCACTAGAGGGCCGTTTCGTCCTAGTATGGGACTACCTCAGCAGTGCGCATACACGATCCCGCACCCCGCGAGATTTGAATCCAGGACCTATCAGTCTCGCGCCAGGCGCTTAGCCAACTAGACCACTGAGCTTGCCGGCATCCAACGGTGTTAATGTCGAACTTCAACCAATCCACGAAATTGCGCCACCGTACACCATTGTCTTCAGTGAGCTGATATCTTACAACAGATCTGGTTGAACTCCACTGGTAACGGCTTCTCACTAGAACTCCAGGAGTATCTCTTGAAATCAGTCACTAGTGAGCAGATGATTATTGTCAGAAGGGGTTTTGTCGAGATTTTAGAAATTTCACTGATTGAAATCATGAGTTCCACAATAAAACGAAACGGCTGTCCAGTTGTTCCAGGTTTTCCATGGTGGTCTAGCTTCAATTGACTCATGATTTCAATAAGTGAACTTTCTAAAATCTCCACAAAACCCCTTCTGATAGTCTCATTATATCTAGTTTTATATACGGTATAGAATTTATCAATAAAACCGTTATTTAGAACTGGATAACAGATGAAATATATTTATTTATAGGGTTGATTACATTGATGCAAAAACAATGTTATGTTAAATTCACTTAGTATTAATTCACTTGAATCTTTCCATTGATGATTAAGACTGCAATTGATCAGTCTCTTGTTGGTATATGTGCATATTGTGCGTATTGCCTCGATATTGCCTTAATTCACAAGCATTATGAGCAAACGTGGATAGTGGCTAATAGTGGAATCCAATTTGACACGCATTTAGTCCTATTTAGGACTCGTCAGCTGCATCTCAGAGTTGATATTCACTCTGGGACTCGAACCTGACAGCATTCGCTTCAAACGCCATCGCGTTATCCACTTAGTTGATGAGTCCCAAATAGGACGAAACGTGCATCTTGGATTCCACTGCTAGCCACTATTCATCTTTGCTTAAAGTTATATTATTTGAACTAACTTTACGGATGAATTACGTTTATTAAATATTTATGATAAATTCTATGAGTACTATGAAGTCGGAAATCCATGGAAACACAGTAAGGAATAGTTTATAAGAATAAGTCATATACATGAATGGACAAAGTTATACAAATCAGTGCTTAAAATATACTGTACTGACGGTTCCTAGTAAGTCAATCAGAATTAATACAGCTCCTTGTGGAAGTTTGAGAAAAAATATAAAATATCGAATGATAACTTGTTTATTATGATGAACTAAGTAAAAACTGACAATATTTGGTTTGTAAAATATCTAATAAGCAAACAAATAGTGAAGAAAACAGATGACTTAGAACAAATGACAAGAAATACCTACTCTTGATACAGATTGTGTCAGAGTACATGAATAGCTGAAAGTGGTTTAGTAGCTAGATATTATTCAGCCACTTTACCTCCTTACTCTAATTCTTAACCTTAAGTCTCTTAAGTTTTTAGACAAAAGATTATTAAGCATTGTTGCATTATAGTTGATGTCTGTTTGTGATGATAACCTTAATCGTAATACTTAATTCTAACCAAACTTAACTCTTGATACTTGTCCATAAGCTTTCATAGATATAACTAGTATCACTTGGTAATGGAAAGCCTATAGAATTTAAAAATCTAACTCACAACATCAGTCCAACTCTTAAATTGTAAACCTACCCTTTTTTTCCTTTAGTATAACGAATACTTCAACATCTAAGGGTTAATCAATCATATCAAAACTATTCTTCCACTGAAATCATATTTCTTCTTGTTGTCAATTTTTTTTAATAACCAAAACCCTGTTTCTTGATTGGCTGTCAGGTCGCTCAAGGTCGTCAGTATTGTATACTTTTCCCACTAAATGGTACATAATGCTTAATACATTTTAACTCACTCTCAAATATTTAGACAAATTTAGTTTAAGACTCCTCAGCAGTGTGCATACACGATCCCGCAACCCGCGAGACTCAAACCCAGAGCCTATCAGTCTCGCGCGCGAGCGCTTTACCATTAGACCACTGAGCCGGCATCAAACGGTGTTAATGTCTAACTTCAAACAATCCACGAAATTGCACCACCATACATCATTGTCTCCAGTGAGCTGATATCTCACAACAGACCTGGTTGAACTCCACTGGTCACGACTTCTCATTGCTGTGGAGTCCCATACTAGGACGAAACAGCCGTCCAGTGCTTCCAGGTTTTCCATGGTGATCTAGCTTCAATTGACTCATGATTTCAACTATTGGAATTAGTAAAATCTCCACAAAACCCCTTCTGATAGTTTAATAAGTAAATGAAATCATAAATAGTTTATAACATTTGGATCGTCTAAATGATCAGTGAATTAGTGAATCTATGGTTAACTAAACAATAGCTTTACACGAAACAACTTAAAAAACTTCACTTGACACTAGACAAGATCTCATTCATTATACAGTATGGAATAAAACTATTTATTCATATTAAGCAAAGATGGATAGTGGCTAGCAGTGGAATTCAGGATGCGCGTTTTGTCCTATCCTTGCTTAAAAAGCTTGTGACCTAAGGCTATATCGAGGCAATCGCAAAGGATGCACATATGCCAACATGAGACTGATCAATTGCAGTCCTAAATAACAATGGGAAGATACAAGTAAAACAACACCAAGTGAATGTAAACTTCACCCCAATGCATAAGCAGGTGGCTATCAGGACTGAGTAGCTAAGTGAATAACGCGATGTCGTTTGAAGTGAACGGCAATGGGTTCGAGTTAAGTGTTGAGCATCAATTCTAGGATGCAGGTGCATCCGACTGACGAGCCCCAAATAGGACGAAACGCGCATCATACTGGATTCCACCACTAGCCACTATCCATCTTTGTTTAAAAAGCTTGTAACTTAAGGCTATATCGAGGCAATAGGAAAGGATGCACATATGCCAACATGAGACTGATCAATTGCAGTCCTAAATAACAATGGGAAGATACAAATAAAACAACACCAAGTGAATTTATTTATGCATATTATTGAAAACAAACAACAGCCCACGGTATTTCAAAGTAAATAATTAGAAACAAATCAAGGTAAGATAGATCTATGTTATTTATTATGAAATAAAAACAAGACAATTTAATTATTAGCACTAAAGATTAAAACAAATTTATTGAATCTAAGAAAATAATAGAGCCTAGGATTAAGCTAGAATAGATGGATGAACAATTAGTTGAAAGGAAACATTAAAGCACTCTATACGGTATATTGAGTCATTATGTAAGTGAGTAAACTGAAACTTGATTGATGGGATTAAACAAACTTTAAGGATTAGATAAATTAAATAGCTGGTTACTATTTGGTGTTCAAGAACATGAGGTCCTATGGAAGTGTAATCGTGGTTTGACTAATTCAGTGGGAATTTTTCTAACTACAACAGGGAATGAGACCAGTTCAAATGTCGAAGAAATCATATATCACTATAGGAGTGTACATATATGTTGCTGACGGCTATCAGCTAACACGAAACTGAAGTCTATTGACTATTTCGAACTACTGAAAGACAAAATATTAGCATTCTTAAATTGTTTCTACTAAGAGAATTGAAACTCGATAAAATTGCAGATTTCAGTGGTCACTTTAATATTAGTACTAAATTGTTTGAACCTAGAATTTTCTCTCAATAAAGTGAACCTCGTGATTGAAATGTTAAGGCATATTAGGTAGTTGCAAGTAGTTGGTTGAAAACTTAGGATCTAAGTTTCATGAAAGTTCAATATTATCAGTAGGGTGTGTTCTTCGATCGTGAAGAAACTAGTGCTTATTGTAGGATTTGAACTCAAGTCGTTTAGCTTCACAGACTGGTAGAACTCAATCAGTACTAAAGAACTAGACAAATATGACACTAGGCACTATTCAGTCATCAGTCAGTTGTTAATATATCAGTTCAACAGAAAGTTACTCACAATCCGTGCACTTTTGTTACAAAATCTCATACTGAAAACCTAGATGACTCGAGTTCAAATTATATAGGGAGGATCAGCTCCTCCATGACTGCACACATAATTTTACTGATGAATATTAACACGAAATCTAGGTCTTCGATTTCCTGTCGACTAGCCCCAACTAGCTAACATCTAAACGTGGTGTAAACAATGTTGATTCAATTAAACTAGTGACCACATTACAAATTGATCAATGGAATTCGATCAGCATGGA